AAAAAAAAAAAAAGGGGGGGGGGGGGGGGGGAGAAAAAAAAAAAAAAAAAAGGGGGGGGGGGGGGGGGGGAGAAAAAAAAAAAAAAAAAGGGGGGGGGGGGGGGGAGAAAAAAAAAAAAAAAAAGGGGGGGGGGGGGGGGAGAAAAAAAAAAAAAAAAAAGGGGGGGGGGGGGGGGGAGAAAAAAAAAAAAAAAAAGGGGGGGGGGGGGGGGAGAAAAAAAAAAAAAAAAAGGGGGGGGGGGGGGGGGGGGAGAAAAAAAAAAAAAAAAAAAAAAGGGGGGGGGGGGGGGGAGAAAAAAAAAAAAAAAAAAAGGGGGGGGGGGGGGGGGGGAGAAAAAAAAAAAAAAAAAGGGGGGGGGGGGGGGGAGAAAAAAAAAAAAAAAAAAAAAGGGGGGGGGGGGTAGAGAATCAACCGAAAATAGCACGCATCCGCAGGACACAAGAGTGAAAACACAAAATATATTACCTTGCTCAACTCAATGCTATTAGTGAAATCAAGTTCTTTAGCATCAATCTCGTATTCTGGAACTTCACGGCAAGTCTTAACATGCATGGGAGCCATCTGGATGAAAATTAATTTAGACAATCATCAAACCAAGCAACTCTTATCACAATATGAAATAAAAGGTTTTTCCCTGATCAGTAGAGCTTGAATGGAATGCAAACTTACTGGAGGCTTGGCACCATGTTTCTCTAGTAGCTTGATCACTGCATGATTTTTATAATGTATTCCATCTGCCAGGGGCTGTTCAAGCAAGATTAGATTGTTCCCAAAAATGTAAACTAATAAGGAAAAAACAGGACACTCAAAATTTTCAGATTGAATCCATCTAAAAGTGTCCTTAATACTTTAAGAAATCAAATTGTCCATATTTGTGAAGGGGAGCAAGGAGAACGACAATAAAAACAAATTATAGTATCTGTTAATCAGATTAGATGAAGAACAACTGTTAAATCTTCATGCATATGTCCTCATCTCAACAAAGGTCACACAGCATGTAACTTTGTAAAACATAAAAACATCTTAAAGCCAATGAGTCTATCAAAAGAAATATCTTAAAGCACACAAAACATGCGATTCTACAATATGCACGTGACATGGGATAGTTATCCGCCAACCATTGCTCTGTTTGATATTTATTCTTCGCCATGATGCGCCATCTCAGATCTCAGAATAACCATAGTAATGCCCCAAGAGTGGCCTAAACATTGAAGAGCTAGACTGACAATCCTGGGAACTAAGGTCCGAACCCGAATCGTGAATTATTTCTATCTGCCTAAAGATTGCAAGGCAGTGTTTTTTTAATTTTGAAACTGGTAGCTTTGTGTTCCTTGGCATTAAGGGCTATGCTAGCCACCTCCTAAAGTTACAGAGCTCCTATGAGATCCACAAGTTGAATTTCCTCTTCTATATTCTTTTCTATATACCAAAAGCCTAAAGTGGTAATTACTTTCCACTTAATCGTTTCTATTGTGCATTCTTTTCCTTAAAAGTTCTCTGGTTTCTCTCCTTCCTTATAATCTGTTAGACAGTGTTACCCTTTCCCAATTTGCTGGTAGGACATAGCAAAAACCAGGTGAATAAGTAGTGTGTCCACAAACTGACCCAAACTTCAAATAACAACAGTAAAGGTAAGAGTAAGATGGGCTAAGGGAAGGGAAATAGCTATCAATTTGAGCAATACTACTCGCAATAACCCCCAGAAAAAAAACCTTTTTTCTAATTTCATAAGCTAGATACCAAGAAGTAACTGTACCAATGACAGCAAACCGACAGAAGATCATAGTGATAATCAAACATCAACAAACCAAATGGGGTTTTCATCATATCATAGTAAGGCCCCAATGGTGGCCTAAAGATTGAAGTGCTAGAGTGATAATCCTGGGAATTAAGGTTCAAATCCCACTAGAGGCAACACCAGATAAATTCCTTCTATCCACCTAAAGATGGCTAGGCAGAGTTAACCTTACCGTACATATGCTAGTAGAAGCTAGCAAATACCCGGCAGATTAGTAGTGTGTCCACAGACTGACCCAGACACTAAATAATAACTACAAAAGTAAGATGGGCTAAAGGAAGGAAATATCTGTCAATTGAGCAACTTTTTGCATTTCATAGGCTAAACAACAAGAAGTAACTGTACCAACAACAGCAAACTACTCCGAATAACCAGCTACATATCAAAAAGGAACCTTTTTCCTTTTTTTATTTCATAAGCTAGATACCAAGAAGTAACCATACCACAATAGGAAACTACCCTCTATAACCAGAAAAAGGAATCTTTTTTTGTTAATTTCATTAGCTAGATGAACCAAGAAGTAACTGTACCAAACACAGTAAACTACACTAATAACCAGCTACATACCCAAAAAAAGAAACTCTTTTTGTGTTTCATAAGCTAGATACCAAGAAGTAACTACACCTTACTCGGACTCTCCAAAATTGATGCCACACCCATGTCTTATTCCTCAACTATGCACTACTTTTGGAGAATCAGGCACGCCCTCGTCGCCTTTTTAAAGAGTCTGAGCAACATAGCTCTCAATAACCAGCTACATGCCCCAAAAGGAACTTTTTTTTTCTTTTTCATTTCAAAAGTGTACCAACAATACCAAACTACTCTCAATAACCAGCTACATACCCAAAAAAAGAACCCCCTTTTTTAAAATTTCATAAGCTAGATACCAAGTAACAATGCAAACTGTTCTCACTAACCAGCTACATACCCAAAAAAACAACCTTTTTTTCAAAATTTCACAAGCTAGGTAACAAGAACTAACTGTACCAACAACAACAAACAAAACAGAAAATCATATTAACAATCAAACATCAACAAAACCATAATGGGATTGATCATCATACCGTACTCCCCCACCGATCTTTCGGATCAACTTCAGCCCCATTATCAAGCAACAACTTCACAACATCACTTGAACCATGACAAGCAGCAACATGAAGTGCAGTCCTCTCATCAATATCCCTAAAATTAACATCAGTCCCTGATTCCAAAATCTCCTTTATCCCTTCTATATCACCCTCATTCGCCGAATACATCAACCTAACCCTTGGATCAATATCAATAACAAATCCATCATCTTCACCTCCTAATACTTCTTCGCCCCTCCTCTCTGGTGCTAATGAAGATTGCTTACCTAATTTGAATCTCACAGGTGAATTCGGTTCCATTTCAAGAAAATGTACAAAAATTACACCACCCTAACAACAATAAGTTTGTTATAGTAATTCCTAGAACTTTTCAAGAATCCAAAATTAGCAAAAGGGTATTTGTAAAAAATAGTGCTTGAACAGAAGAATCCTAAAAAATTAAGGAATTTGAAGGTTTAACCAAGAACCCCCATTACAGATTCAAAGGGGTTAGGTTCACTTCCAAGGTGAGAAATTTGTTAAATTAAGAAGGAGCGTGAGAGGCACTCGTTAAGGGACGCAAGTGGAGGAGACAATTCCATAAGCAATGACGGCGGTGATTGGTTGGACTTTTTCTCTCTCTCTTTTTTTGTTTTTGTTTTTTTTTTTTACGTTTGTATTTCTGAGGATCAAATTTGTATCGCGTTCAAATAAATAATAGTAAAACTTACGTAAATGACTATAGTTTTAGGGTTATTAGATTGAAATAGCTATAAGTATCATATTTAAAAAAAATAGCTACAGTTTGAGTTAAAAAATAGCTAAATTCCATAAATATTTCATTTTTTTTAATACAAAAATACATTCAAAATTAACTCCCACTAAATGAGGTCAGTTAATGTAACTGACAAGGCTATTTTCCAGCCCTTAAACCCACTAATTTGGCACTTTAAAAAATGTAACTGACCTATAAGGTATAGGATTCTGATCAGTTTAAAATTGAAAATATGTTCCTTCTTTCCTTTTCATTTCACGCCAAAAGCAAAAAAACAATTCCAATTGTCCCAACGTTTGGCGATCAACCATGGCTACTATCACAGTTTTGATTCGGCATTCCGGAAAATGGAGCGAAGAGAATTGCTATGTAGAATATAGCATTGACGGGATAGTGTTGAAGGAATATGCTTCGTATTCTGATTTAGTTGATTTGATTTCGGTACAATTGAACGTCGATCTTACAAAAAAGTGTATCAAAATCAAATACACAGTACAATTAAACGTCGATCTTACAAAAAAGTGTATCAAAATCAAATACACTGTCGAAGGTAACGACACGCCTATGGAAATACGTAACGACATGGGTGTGCGCGTATATGTTCAGTTGAAAAAGATCAACACTCAATTTGGAGTATATCCCTTATGTGTAAGTATTTTTGATATTGATATAGTATATTCTGATTCTGGAGAAACTTCTATTGAAGGTGATGTGTTGCAACTTGAATACAATCAAGAATTAATTGGTACGAATGATACATTACCAATTGTCCCAACGTTTGGCGATCAACCAGTAGATGCATTTGATGTTGGAAATGATTTAATAATTACGAACAGATCGCAAAAGGAGATAATGATTGATCAGATATACATGGATAAGTCAACATTGAAGGATGTGATGGAAAAGTATTCAATCGAAAAAAGGTTTAAATTCTTGGTGGAGAGGTCAAACTCTATAAGGTAAATTGTTGTTAAATTTGTTTCATTTTAAGTGTATTGAGTTATGTTTGCAGATGCAAAGCAGAACTAATAAAACAATATAAATTGAATTCACAGCTATACTCTTGTATGTCAATCTAAAGAATGCCCATGGCTGATGAAAGCGTCAAGTATTAACAAGTCGAAGATGTTCAGAATTAGAGTTTTTAACTCTGAACATACATGTCCTTTAAAGGATGGGGTGCATTCAGATTGTCGTGCAACAAGTGGATTGATTGGAGGAATAATCGCACCTAAATTGAGAAATCACAAGAGGAAGTACACTCCAAATGATATCAGGGATGACATTAGATTGGACTTGGGTATTGATATTAACTACATGTTGGCATGGCGAGCAAAATAGAAGGCATTAGAATCGATAATGGGGCAACCAGCTGCGTCTTATGGGAAGCTACCTGGATACTTGTATACCTTGGATAAGACATACCCTGGTTCACATATTCGAATGAAGAAAACGCCTGAGAACGAATTTTTGTATGTGTTTATAGCGTTGCATGCTTTTATAAAGGGATTTGATCATTGTAGGCCGATTGTTGTTGTAGATGCCAGCCACCTTAAATCAACATATACTGGAGCATTCGTATCAGCCAGCACTTTGGATGGAGCAGGTATTTTAGATACATAAATACATTATAATTTTATTTATTTGGTATTCACCCTTTTTTAAAATTATAATAGGGAATATATTACCTTTGGCATACGGAGTTATTGATTCAGAAAATGATGCTTCTTGGACATGGTTCTTTGAACAATTCAAAGAAGCTTATGGTGAAAGAGAGAATATGTGTGTGGTATCTGACCGACATAATAGCATAATAAAGGCTGTATCTATTGTATACAACAATATCCAACATTACGCCTGCATATGGCACTTGTGGGCTAATGTATGCAAGAATTTTCGAAAAGCAAATGAGCAATTAAGTGAAGTATTCTACACTATGGCAAAAGCGTATACTCAAACTGATTTTGATAAGCTAATGAAAAGAGTTGAGCAGTTTGATGTAAGGGTGAAGAACTACTTGGAGTTGGTTGGATATGAGAAGTGGGCAAGGTTGTATGCACCAGTTCCTCGTGGTTGGGTGATGACGTCGAATATTGCAGAGTGCATCAATTC